CTGGCCTAGTTATGGCCACAATGTTATTAGGCCTCCCACTTTTTATATTAGCTGGTAAGTCCAGGAGAGAGGGGAGAGGCGAGGGGGAGTGAGGGGTCAAGCGGGGGGGGGGAGGGTAATAAGAAGGGTCAGAAGAGGAGTGAGAGGGAGTCAGGCGAGCTGTGAAATACAATATATAGAATTACATACAGTATTAGTTCTATACTTACTATACTTCCCAGTAGAATAACACAGTGAGTAATTAATTTAAGCAAGACTCAAGAAGTATCTAAACTCGTGCTAGTCCATCAATATTACATTACATAGCACCAATTTGCATAGTCTTTGAGCTTTGTTCAGAGCAAGAAATATATGTATTTCTGTTGAGACAGTTTTGCCTTCGTTAAACGTCATAAGATTTACGGGTGGTGATGCTAGATGCTGAGTACAACATGTAGTGTTACTTCACCTGTCACTCAGGGCTGTGTTGTACCTCAACACATCTGTGTACCTTTAAAGGATGCTTACAGGTTACAGCTTATCTAGAACAACTTGCTAGAACAGTGGATGCTGGTGACGAACCCTCCAGTGGACGCACAGAGTAGTAACACCCAGAAAATAGTCAGTGATATACGAATGAATGTTTTAGCTGTTGAAGAAAACAGATTTGGAATGAAATTCCTTTGGATACCACCACATGTTGGCATCTCAAGGCATGACACTGTTGATATGCTTGCTAAGACAGCCTGTAGAAAACCAGTGGTAGAAATTGAAATGGGTTTTTCATTAGCAGTGACAAAGAGAATACTTAAACAAATATCTAATGAAGATCTCACCGACCTAACAAATTCACAAAGACCTGAAAGTTGTAGCATTAAATATTATGATAGATATCGTGAGGAGACATTCACATATGGGACTAATAGAACAAGAACCCGGCAATGTGATGTTATAGTGGCCAGAATACGCCTGGGATATAGACGTATCTGGCAGCTTTCTCAAAACCCAAATGTCGAGTACACAATGTGTCAACTTTGTGAAAGAGAAAACATGCACTCTCTTGAACATTATATTGTAGAATGTCCCATATTGACTGACTTTCGCCCTCCTGGGCTGAGGTATTCTGAACTCTGTAACTACTGTATGAGTACTGGAACACTTGATAATATATTGGACTTGTACCCAAGATTGACCATGTAATGTATCAGTTAAACAATGTATGTAACTATATAACCTGAGCTTATAAATGCATCTTAATCACCTTCAGTGGTTAAGTGCTTAATAACACACTAGTTTCTATATCACCTATCTTACCTGCCACAGTAGGAGAGACATAAATATATGTGTATGTATGTGTGTGTGTATGTATGTGTGTGTATATGTATGTATGTATATGTATGTGTATGTATATATGTGTAAGTGTGTGTGCATATTTATGAATCAATGTGTATAAAGTATTTGTGGAAACCTATCAGAATTACATTTCACATTTGTAAAAGCACATTAATGACACTATGTAAAAGACACATCGAACACTTTATGTAGGGCATACGTAAATCTGTGTATCTATGTATTTACGTATGTAGGTTAACTTAGCATTTTAAAAGCACTACAATCACCTTCTGTGGTTGATTGTTCAATAAATCCCTGAACTATATGTTTAACACATCTCTCACCTTGTCCATGGAGGAAAGAAGAAAATGTATATATGCTGGTTAAAAAAAAAAATGCCTGGTGACGAACCAGTAGTAGCTGCAGCAGCTGCAGCAGCAGCAGCAGCAGCAGCAGCAGCAGTCCCCGGAGCAGTGGGCAGTAACACGAGGAGGGACACCTGCAGATCACGTCTGTGGTGTAATGTAACAGTTTACTTCCTCCAGCCTCTTATTGTCCCCCATCCCCCCTCCAGCACCCCCACCCTCCTCCACACTACTCCAGCACCACAAGGCGAGACCGGATCCACAGAGGGGGGATGGAGTAACACTGTTGCTGCAGCTACACTGCACCTTTGAGAAAACAGTCAGCAGGAGGCACACTGAGACCAGCCACAGTTCATACCAAGACCAGCAACAGTGGGAGGCGTGGTAGTGAGTGTTGCCACCGGAGGCCGCTAGTTTATTGTGCACCACATACTTGCCCTGTGAGCGGTAGCGCAAAAAAGGATTGCAGAGGGCACAAAAGATTTTTATCAGACCTCAACGGAGATTGTTACATTAACAATTACATTTATTCTTCATACCTTATAATTATAGTGTCAGCTAGTTACAGAGAATATTCCATTTTAATAACACTGTATTTACAGTTAATCATTATACATTAATGACATTATACATTAATGGTCTTATAAATCATACATTAATGGCCTTTTACATCATACATTAATGGTAGGTCTTCTCGCTAATACATAATTGTTTGAGCTATGGAGATATTACAGAGTCACAGGGAAGCTGCTGTTTCTTATTACTAGACTTCATAATACACTACTTGTTTCTTAAGATGGGTTGCCATTTCATACAGCGTGCGTTCAGATTTATCGCTAAATGATTAAATTTTATTACTGTGTAAGATATAAACAGTTCAACCTGTGAGTGAACTTGCATTCTTATTGTTTCTTGATGGAGCATCTTAATGTTGAACAAGATAACGCGAGCTGAGAACATAACAGTAGAGCCATTGGCCAGAATATTAAAATACAAATTAGCAACAGTTCTTGCAACACTGCGTTCTGTTATAACTTGGCAACGAATCACACTAACACCTAGGGAAACACACCCGGTAAAGGTGGCTAAGGTGTTCTAGCACGCGTAGCGTTTCGGGCAGGTCCTTAATCCTAATTTTCCCCGGAATACGACCCGTCAAATGGTTCAACAACCAGGTACCCATTCACTGCTGGGTGAACAGAGGCTACAGTTAAGGATTGGGGCCTAGTCAATTCTCCCCGGCCTGGATACGAACCCAGGCCCAAGTGCTCGCGAAGCACCGGGCGAGTGCTTTACCACTGATGATGATAAGAATATCATCGCTAACATATTAATGCATGAGGTTTATGAAGAGTGCCAAGCTCTTGGTGATTTCAATTGTGAGCAGTTATTAATATCAGCTCATGCTCGTCAGCCTCATCAACTGTTTACTGCTTTACTGAAGTAAGTTCTCTTCTCACTGAACTCTTAATCATTACCACATTGTGGTGGAGGCTGACTCCATACACAGTATCAGCTAAAGATATGATAGAGCCCAGTAGGTTCAGGAATCTTTACACCAGTTGATTGACAGTTGAGAGGCGGGACCATAGAGCCGAAGCTCAACCCCTGTAAGCACAACTAGGCGAGAACTTTATTCTAAGTTACTTCTGAATGTAGATTATATTTGATTCATTAGTATGTAAACTACACTGGCATTATAATGGTTTATAAGTTGTTTTCACTACAGTTCTTTCTTTTAAAACCCTAATGAAGGAACTAGAGTGAACTATTCCTGTTTAACATGAGCAATAATTTATCCTAGTTGTAACACCACCCAAGATGCTACTCAATACTTCCTTGCCCAAGGAGCTTTTATTCTAGCATCTTTACGAAGCTACTTAACACCTCCCCCCCCTTCCTCCTTGCAAGAGTGCCTCGTTATTATACTCGCCTGCACTTGATGGATGGGTTTCATAAGGCACCCAACCCGACGGTACCAAGTCCCCATTCTTATCCCCTCTCCCTACCCATCCCCCGCCAACATATTTCCTAGACATGGGGGTGGCAGGTATAATATATACCAGAGATATATAATATATACCAGAGATATAACCAAGTATGAGCGCACGGCACCTGTCGTTGTGCCTTGTTCATCACACGACACAAACGACAACGGGCCGTCACCAACAATACTCTCCTAAACTCGGGGGTCACAATACCCGCCCCGGCGCCATTTTCATCCCAGGTGAAAATTCCCCGGCTTCGGAGGGGCTGTATTTTCTGGTTTAGGGATAAATGTTTTTTTTTATATGGTATGAAGCCAATTTAGTGCGTAAAGTAGTGACACGCATTAGTGATGCGTGTCAGTGATGTAACGTAAATTAGTGATGTAACGAGAGTTTAATTTGAAAGGTATCAATACACCTGTACTCTTGTGTGCATAGTGACGACCCATGTATGAAGCATATGGTGGGCGCCTGGCCTCGTGTGGCACAGTGTCACCCCTGGCAGTGTCACCCCTGGTAGTGTCACCCTGGCAGTGTCACATTGGCAGTGTCACCCTGGCAGTGTCACATTGACAGTGTCACCCTGGCAGTGTCACCCCGGACAACACCGCTTCCTTATCGACACTTCCACTCATTATTCTACTTATAATCACATGTGTCAAGTCCTGCACCACCGTGGTTACGGCCAGCCGTGGTATATTAAACCCTTCCTGAATTTAACAAAATATATTCTATACAGGATGGTAATATTGTTTCATATTATAAATACAGTGTGCTGAACTTTTAATATAAAAGTGAGTTTTGACAGATCCCAAAAGCCCCCTTGACCAGAACCGCTTTTGTAAGGAGGAGGGAGTCACACTGAACATGGCGGCTTGATAAACAATACTCTAGTGTCAGTTGCCGTCCAGTCTTTAAGATATATTATTTAGTGTATACAAACTGGAAGGGTGAATGACACAAACCAGTACTGGGTGAGGGATGAGGACGGTGCTTGTGAGTCTAGGACCTTGGGCGCGGACGAGGGCCTTAGGTGCGAATGGGGGCCTTGGGCGCGGACGAGGGCCTTAGGTGCGAATGGGGGCCTTGGGCGCGAACGAGGGCCTTGGACAGGTGAGTGCGGGACGTGCTGTGGGCAGGTTATCCAGGGCCGCCGCCGCCGCTATGTGGGTACAGCATGACGTGACGTTCCGACATGACGTTCGCTGTGCCTTACGACAAGATGTACGCTGTACTTTACATAACGTATGCTGTGCCTTACGACATGACGTACGCTGTGCATTACGACATGAGGTACATTGTGCGTTATGACATTACGGACACTGTGCCTTAGTACATGACGTACGCTGTACCTTACATGACGTACGCTGTACCTTGCATGACGTACGCTGTACCTTACAACATGATGTGTGTTGTGCCTTACATGACGTACGCTGTGCCTTACGACATGACGTACGCTGTGCCTTACGACATGACGTACGCTGTGCCTTACGACATGACGTACGCTGTGCCTTACGGCATGACGTACGCTGTGCCTTACGACATGACGTACGCTGTGCCTTACGACATGACGTACGCTGTGCCTTACGACATGACGTACGCTGTGCCTTACGACATGACGTACGCTGTGCCTTACGACATGACGTACGCTGTGCCTTACGACATGACGTACGCTGTGCCTTACGACATGACGTACGCTGTGCCTTACGACATGACGTACGCTGTGCGCTCTGGCAGGTACAACCCGTTCGCAGATCAAGTCCATTCCAGTCCACCCCAAAGACTCATTCATTAATCTAAACATGCTGTTCATTCAAATCAGAAATGTTCTAAATTATAAATTAATATTATATATTAATGTACTGAGCTTATTTAGGCATTTGTTAGGAAAGGTGCTTAGGTTCTGATGGAGATTATTTGTGTGTGTAGTACGTGGGTGAAGCATTTACAGCGTTGTGGTTCGAAGAAATTTCGTCAGTGAAGCACTTATTCCGGAAGTGTTCGGACGTCATCAGTTGTGAGTCGTGTGTAAACTGTTTTTCATTCATAAACAGCTGGGATTCAGCGGGTGCATGGAATGGACTTTGGCCTTTGTTTATGTGCACGGGCTGCATAGTTCTGTTTATGTTCTTCGATTGGGACGTATTTAGAACGTCAATTCTAATAAAATCAGCAGTCTTCACGGATGGTGTACGCTGTGCCACACGAGATATTAGAGTACCTAAACAATGGATCCCTTGAACACACACTGTAACTCACTCGAACAGGCAACAGTTCCATACGAGTAGAAACTCCTAAATGACACCAATATTTACACATATAACAAGGACATGACGAACTTACAATATTAACAACTTTCAATGTGGTTTACTGAGATGTAATTCCCTTTTAACAATTACTGGTTAATTTTGTGATGTTTTATGATATACGAAACAATGGCGAATAACGTAGTATATGTTAATTTTAACAGACCATAGGATAATACTCCTCAAAGACTTCTTTAAAGAGTAATAATTGATCCATTGTATACACTCACGTGGGTTTGTATGCAATATACAGTATCGAGTATGTTACATAAAAGATAAAGAAAAACGGAAAATACACGCTCTGAATAGGCCAGCTAATTGACGAATATCACATTACACAAGGAGGTAAATTAAGGACAAATGGAGCTTGCGAAGAAGTAGAATAGTGACAGGCCTACCGAACATTAGGCTTCAATGGTAGGCGGAGAATGTCACAATATGAGGCTAGGGAGACTAATAACCTGACCCGTGTTGCATGGAGCCGGTGCTGACCATTCGGTCCGGACTCTTAACTGTTCTCATGCGGTCCAGGTTCATCTTACACCTCACTGTATCTCACCTCACCTCATTTTCTCTCACCTCATCTCTTAATAACGGCTTCATCATTCTTCCACAGTTTCGACTTGATAAGGGTTGGTACCTACGTTACAAGAGTGACCTCAGCTGGTACTCACGTTACAAGAGTGACCTCCGCTGGTACCTACGTTACAAGAGTGACCTCAGCTGGTACCTACGTTACAAGTGACCTCAGCTGGTACCCACGTTACAAGTGACCTCAGCTGGTACCCACGTTACAAGAGTGACCTCAGCTGGTACCCACGTTACAAGAGTGACCTCAGCTGGTACCCACGTTACAAGAGTGACCTCAGCTGGTACCCACGTTACAAGAGTGACCTCAGCTGGTACCCACGTTACAAGAGTGACCTCAGCTGGTACCCACGTTACAAGAGTGACCTCAGCTGGTACCCACGTTACAAGAGTGACCTCAGCTGGTACCCACGTTGCAAGAGTGACCTCAGCTGGTACCCACGTTGCAAGAGTGACCTCAGCTGATACCCACGTTACAAGAGTGACCTCAGCTGGTACCCACATTACAAGAGTGACCTCAGCTGGTACCCACGTTACAAGAGTGACCTCAGCTGGTACCCACGTTACAAGAGTGACCTCAGCTGATACCCACGTTACAAGAGACCTCAGCTGGTACCCACATTACAAGAGTGACCTCAGCTGGTACCCACATTACAAGAGTGACCTCAGCTGGTACCCACATTACAAGAGTGACCTCAGCTGGTACCCACATTACAAGAGTGACCTCAGCTGGTACCCACATTACAAGAGTGACCTCAGCTGGTACTCACGTTCCTCCTCCACGTGACGTAAACTCCATCAACACTTACCTGAAACAAACAAAAACACAACAATAAACATGGCATCGCTGAAGGCAACAATGTTTTTTTACAATAAAAATCTTTTATAATAGGCAATATTTTATCAATCAAAATCTCCATTATCACAACCCTCTCCACCATCACCTCCCTCACCATCACTACCCTCTCCATCACCACCCTCTCCATCACCACCCTCTCCATCACCACCCTCTCCATCACCACCCTCTCCATCACCACCCTCTCCATCACCCTCTCCATCACCACCCTCTCCATCACCACCCTCTCCATCACCACCCTCTCCATCACCACCCTCTCCATCACCACCCTCTCCATCACTACCCTCTCCATCACCACCCTCTCCATCACCCTCTCCATCACCACCGTCTCCATCACCATCGTCTCTTGGTCTTAACATTATGATGTTAAGACCAAGATCTTAAGATCTTATTAGCTCAATAAGTGTTAACAAAGAAAGTGGAACAAATTAAAATCATAAACCCAGTGATCCCGCTGTAAATATGATTAGTACAAAGGCCAAGAACTGCATTTTGTGTTCCGACTCACTAGGCCTATGTGTAGTAATTAGACACAAACTGAATTATGTTCCTTTATTTACTATTGACACAAATGCATATTTATGGATGGAACGTATTCAGTTACATATTTCTACTTCTAGGAAGAATATAGACAAATGAAAAGAAATATTTTGCATGAAATGCTGGCCACACACACAGTAAACAGAACTGTTTAACACATTTTCATTTAACGAGAATATATGCTTGTTCGTCCCAGGTATTTGACACCACTGTGGAACACGGGAAGACAATGCTATACACATAGCGTTGCCCGAAACGCTATGCGTACTAGTGGCTTTAGGTATTGTTTGTACTACCTCTTTCTTTAACTAACAAAATGTTTGTACTGTAACTCTGCAACTATGTATGTACTGTTCCTAAATATATTATTATTATTATTATTATTATTATTATTATTATTATTATTACATGTCAAGTGCAGTGTTGAGCTCGTTTATATCTTCCGTGTTTAAGTTAATGTGGGTAACGATAGTTCACACAAGTGTGCAGCAGTAAAAGGTAATAATGTCAACGCAGGGTTTTTACTTAAACAGTGGAAATTCTCTTTCTTAACATTAATCCACAATTATGACAAACTTAATTCCTCAGAATAATTCTTCAATGTAAATGAACTATTAAGATGCAGTAGTGCAGCAACTACCTTACTACCCGTCTCGTCACTTCCAATGATGAGTAATGAGTGCGAGTAATAATAATAATAATAATAATAATAATAATAATAATAATAATAATAAAATTATTTAGGAAAAGTACATATATAGTTGCAGAGTTACAGTACAAACATTCTGTTAGATTTAAAGATAGAGGTAGTACTATTATAGACTCGTGGGTTGGTTGGTGTTGTCGTCGTCGATCCTTCTCTATGGACAACCCAACCCACAACTCGGCAGAGTGCTTATACTAGGAGATCACCCTTGGCGCTTCTGGCTCTTGGAGAGGGGCTCAACGTCACACGTTTAGGGGATGCGGCTTCAACACTTAGCCTCGTTGTCACGTGCACACACCCACTCGAGCCGCTGTGACTCCCCACTCTCTCCTTAGATAAGATATGATCTCCTCAATCCCCTATGACTTACTAGTATTACCTCCTACCCTGTCCACAGCAGTGGTTCTTGGTTCTTTCTCTCTCCTTCTTTACTACCTCCTGGGAAGCCTCACTAGGACAAGGGCAAACACCAGCAAATTGTGACACATTTACTGGACAAAGCACATACACGATACATACACACATATAATAATAATGAATCCTATACTCTATAATATCACAATCAGGTTGCACTCCAACACCATCAGAACTCTATTATCAGCTTATCAAGTGGTATCCTATCTCCTGGTTCACCACCTGATACTATTAACCTCCTCAAGTTGGTCAAGCCTACATACACTGTTTCACTATCAGCAAGATAATGTATATATAGAAAATCAGCATTTGAATGCAATCACATATATCAGTATAAATGTTCATTGATACACAACAATGATTAATCGATCACTGTCAGTCCTCGAGCACATACATCTGTAGGTAATCAAGCCTACGACTGCAACTCTAAGCTTCAGACTAAATCACTCCTTGACATAAGAATGCCACCAGTCACTCACCTCTCACTGCGTCTTGCACGCTAATGACAACCAAACACTATCAACTCCCTATAAGTAATCCACCAGAACTTCCCCTTCCACCTCTGGAAGTTCACAACCCTAAAATCCTTAGGTTCTTCCGGGCTTCACTACCAGGATCCTCTGCAGCTCCTCCAGGCTGCTATCATGAAGTTTCCTTGTGCAACTACGGTGCTTCACCCTTCTGTTAGGTTCTTCCACAGCTCTCTTGGCTGCTACACCATGAAGTTTCCCCGAGCAACTATGGTGCTTCTCCACCTCTGCAGAAGCACGTGACACTCCTCTTCACTGCTGCTTCTCCTCACAGCTCGAGGTCCTCTGCTCCACTACCTTGGAGTCTCATCAGCTACTTCATCTGCTGGCTTCGAAGTTCTCAGCAACTTCTTCCCCAAAGACAAACCTGCAACCCATCGACGTTCCAATAAAATGTTCCCCTTTAACACATAAACAAAAATAACCACACAATATGCTTGCCTCAAACCTCTATCTGTCCTCTACATACAGTGAGAGTGGACTCCCCCGTTTTGGGCGGGTCCATACTCCACCTCGCCTGGCGGCGGTCCTCACTCGCTGGGAGGGTCTTCCTCCATCCGGAGCCAGGCTCCCTCAGTCGTCCGCCAGCGCTCAGAGGGGGCGGACGTCGCTCCGTGTTCCTCCCTCTCCACTCTCTTATTTCAGGCTTTCTGCCTTATTAAAACATGTCTAACTTATAAATAAACATTGCTACTGTCGCTGGGCACACGACCAACTACAAGTGATCACTATGAACTGGCGTATATTGTGCTTACCACAGATTAATTGGTCGAGGGCGCTTTCCCTCTGACGGCGTCTGGTCAGGGCGCTCCCACGGCCCACAATAATGCCTCCGGGCGGCTTAATATTCACTAA